GGGGGGGGGGGAACATGTTTTTTAAAGTAGGCGGTTGTTTGATTATTTATTAGAAAGTATCTGTTGCATCAAAACAAAATGTGTCAATAAATTTGAAGTTTTAAAGAGATATGGATTTTGAAGAATTGATCCTGTCTTGCATGTCTATAATGTCTTCTCTCCTCACTCTCACCCTCACTTCCTTCAAAGCTCAGCCTGAATGTCCTTCTTTACTGACCTGATCCCTTAGTTGCTTCCGGCTGCTCCTAAGTTACAATCTACATGCTTTGTATATATACATGTGTGTCCACACTGTTTTTTTCTGATAGAAAGCTAGTTTCTTGGAGGTGATGTGGCAGAACTGTTCAACTGATCTTTATATCCCAACAGGAATCGCAACATTGATCAATCCCCAAATTTCTTGATTATTCCCACAATTCAATTTCTCTTCTTCCGAATCTCCACAATTCTCAGATTATCACCACATCCTCCCCTGATGAAATAGCCTTTTACTTTGGTACCAGCATTCAAAATAAACAACTTTCTTATATATTTGTCTTTCTTTTTTGTTTAATTATTAGTTTTGTAATAGGTGTTATTTCCTATTGTTCTTCCCTGAAAATAGTTCTGATAAGTGGGATGGCAGCTGGTGGCACAATGGATAGAGAGCTGAGGCTAGAGTCAAGAAGACCTGAGTTCAAATCCAATCTCAACACTTCCTAGCTGTGTGATTCTGGGCAAGTCACTTAACCTCCATCTGCCTGTTTCCTGAATTGTCAAATGGGGATAATAATAGCACCCACTTCAGAGTGAAGATGAAATAAGAACAGATTGGTAAAAAGCATTAACACAGTGCTTGGCATACAGTAGGCACTATATAAATGCTCTTTCTGCTCTGCTTCCCCTCAGATGGACTTTTGTTGGATTCAGAGGGAACATCATCATTGAAAATGAGAGTTCACAATCAAGCTTTACTTTGTAGATTTTCTAAATGTTTTTCTCTCTAAACTCTTGGCAAGCAAGCTGGCCAATTGAGTCTCCTTGATAGAGGGTAGACAACAAAACTCAAAGAAGTTAGGACCTATTTCCCTATGGGTATAGCAGGGCTAAGAATGCAGAGCTTTTCCCTGCAGGCTTGGTACACTTCTGGGGGCAACATGTTGCTCTCCCGGTTATAAACATTGTTTCTATTGGAAAATGCATTCTAAATTCCAAATGGCCAAATTTTGAAACATAGATAAAATTTAAGAATTTATTGGGGTGTGTGTGTGTGTGTGTGTGTGTGTGTGTGTGTGTATGTGTGAGAGAGAGAGAGAGAGAGAGAGAGAGAGAGAGAGAGAGA